TAACTTTTTCCTTGTTTTTTTAATTTATTTTTTTTATTTTTTCCACAAAAAAAAATATTTTTTTTTTATTTTTTTTCCCTTGGTCTTTCGGCTCCTTTCGAATCCCCCGCACGCAGGCCCCCGCGGGGAAGCGGCTGGCCCCTGAGGCGGGCGGGCAGGCCCCGCGGCCTGGCTGTGGCCCGCCCGGGGCTGGGCTGTGGCGCTGCCCGCGGTAACCCCGGGTAGGGTTCAGAGAGAGTTGCGGTAAGGAGGCAGCAAAGGAGAAGGCAGCAGCAGAAGGTGTGTAACCAGCGGGGGCACTGCCGAACAGCCAGCGCGCCTGCACCTGCGCCGGGGCCTCCACAGCGATGGGAGCGGTAGAGATCCAGCTAGATCGTGCAAGCATGGCAGTAAGGAGAAAAGAGGAATTTGGGGGGTTTTGTTGTGGTTTTTTTTTTTTGGTTGGTTGTTTTTCTCGGCCTTAAAACTTTTTCTGAGCCACGTGAGATTGTAATCACAATTTGAGCACTGTTGAAAATTTGATACATAGTATCAAATAGCCTGGCGACGAGAAGGCTCCGGGGAGACCTTAGAGCAGCCTTCCAGTACCTGAAGGGGTCCTAAAGGAGAGATGGGGAGGGACTCTTATCAGGGAATGTAGCGATATGACGAAGTGTAACAGTTTTAAACTGAAAGAGGGGAGATTTAGATTAGATATCAGGAAGAAATTCTTTACTGTGAGGGAGGTGAGACACTGGAACAGGTTGCCCAGAGAAGCTGTGGATGTCCCATCCCTGGAATTGTTCAAGGCCAGGCTGGATGGGGCTTTGAGCAACTTGGTCTAGTGGGAGGTGTCCCTGCCCATGGCAGGGGGGTTGGAACTCGATGATCTTTAAGGTCCCTTCCAACTCTAACCGTTCTATGATTCTGTGATATATAGTATTCTCTGTAGTTGTTTTCTTTCTCTTCCCGCGATTACATAGTGTAAATATAAAGAAAATACCAGTACATGGGCACTCTTAAGCTGCCCTAATACCCATGGACCGGACTTTTAGTGAAAAATGCACCACTTTCAAGATGAGATTCCTTTGGTTTCTGACACATAACACATTTATACTCATCATGGCATAAAGCCAAACGTTAATTACAGTCTTATCAATGTTAGCAAATGTTCCACATCCATATATGTGCAGATTTATACTGAAAGAATTCTGTGGACATAACGGGTTTTCACTGGCCTTCTTAACTGGAAATGTATATAATGCATAGTATTACTTAAAAAGAAAAAAAAAAAAGTTTCACTTCATGTCTGCAACATTTAATCCCACTGAGATGATTTTTAAGGCATTTGTTATATTCCAACACCTTATCATAAAATACTTTGAGCAAATAGGATGTCCCCAAATACTGTTTACTTGAAATGGATGAATGAGATGCTCACATAGAAGCAATTCACTACTCTAAAGGAGCAAAGGATGTTTGGTCTTTTTTATCTCTGTCATAAAATGTTATCATAATTTGCTTTTGACTTCTCAGATTAAAAACTCATTTGGCTAGATTAACATCCACACTGTACTTTTTACCATGAAAAAACAGATTTGCTGTTCTTAAGACAAATACTGATACTGCTTCAAACTTGGGAGAGCCTGTTGTGACTCACTGGATATAAACGTGCATAAAGATGAGAAAATAAAATAAAACTACAGTCAGAGCACAAGTTACTGTAGTCGTATCTGGGTTTGGGAAGCTGTATGGGCGTTTCAGAAATGGACATCAAGGTGGTCCCTTTCTTTGTATTTAGTAGGAGAACAATTGAGCGTTAAGGTGAATACAAGGAAGAAGGCTGCACATTAAAAATGTATCACCATAAATGAATTGCTTTGAGAGGTGAAATTGTCATTTGCCACCTTCCATACCTGCACTGGTTTAATCTCATTTGGTCTCCCGTGTGTTCATTTTCATCCTTTCCCTTTCTTTTCACTTTCCTTTATTTCTTTCTCCTTGCAATGTAATCATACAGTAGTTACACACCCATGTGTAATCCCATTCCTCTCTCCACTTCCTTTTCACCTTTCAGCTCCTTGAAGTCTGCAGTGAACACTGGGGACTTCCTTTGCTTAGCTCCATTGCATACTCTAATGCTGGGACTCCACTGAAAGTGCTTTGTCAAGGTTTCTTTCAAAGTTTCTTTTCTAGGAGAAGCTCAGAATTAAGATTCCTATTTCAGCTTTGTTAGCCTTTATCACGATCTACAACAGACTCCTTGAAGTCTGCTCTCTTCGCTAGCATGACTGCCATCTTCTAGTTCTCCTATCTCTTGGACTTGATCATTACGATATTCAGTGAAAGACTCCCTCTACTTTTTAGGTAATCATGTCAATAAATATATATTTATCTCATGACTCACTGTTTTATCTCTACTGCAGCCACTAATCCTGATCCAAATTAAAATCTTACCATCTGCAGGCAGCTAACAGACACGATGGTTTTACCCTCCTCCAGACTGTCTTGGCACCTGTCTCTCTCTCTTCAGTATCAATACTTGTCTGTCTCCAAGCTTGGTTGATGCTGTAGTCTTAGATATCTCTCTGGATTCTCTCTTTCACATAAGTAGCTCTCTTGCAGACTTTTTCTTGTGCAGCAGCTCCAAAGCATAGCTTTTCCTTTCTATCCACACAGCTGAACTCTTTTTTCTTGAAACTGTTTCCTGACAGTGACTAACACCATTTTTGATCTGTTCAGACTCCTGAAGAATGCTTTTGCAAAGGTCATTCATTTAGCTCCTCCTGCCCATCTGCCAGCTCTCAACTCTAGCCTCTCTAGGGCCAAGCATAAAACATCGTTCCTCATTTTGAGGAAGATTATCTCCTGCTCTCACTGCCAAAGGGCCACCTTCCGCATCACATCAACTCAGTGCTGGACTGTGCCTATTATTTGTAAAATTTTCACACAAGAAGTTGTGTGGAAGGTTTCTTCCTCAAGCTGACCTTCCTACAGGTCAAAAGGTCCCTTAGAAGCGCACCAAGCTGTCTCATTCTTTAAATCCTGTCCTCCCTTTTGCTAGAAAACATACCCCAAAAATTGATATTGAGTAGATGGTTAATGAACTGAAACCAACTCTCATTGTCTCATTGTTTCCTTGCGTATTCTGTCTGTATCTGTGTGTTGTTTCTTACCAATTCTTTGACTGTCAGTGGGACTGAAGAGGGTCTTTATTTTTCACATAATCGTAAAATAATTTAGGTTGGAAGGAACTTTTGTACATCATCTGGTCCACCTCACCACTCAAAGCAGGACTAATGTAGTAGTTGCGTCAGAATGTTCAGGGTCGCTTTTGCTCTTGGTAGACTTGGGAATGCAACTCCAGAGGCACCCTGCAAGCAGCTGAGAAGTGTGATTCTCAACTGAGTGACTGAGAGAGAGACCAAAAGCAATGTGCTTGATGCGACATGCTTACCCAGAACATCCTGGTTGCATCAAGACAAGTGTTTTCCGTTTTCTCAACTGAGGATGGTTGAAAATTCTTGTTTATTCTTAACCCAAATAAGGGTTAACAGCTGCTTTTCAACAAATCTGGTTATTTAAGGGAAACCAAGTTCAAGAGACAGCCGTTCAAATCCACTTGTTTACCTGAGTTAGAGACCAACCTAAAGAATCTAGCAGAGCAGAATCTTGTTCCTTTATGAGATTCTTAAGGTACTATGGCAATACTACTACAAGTTTCTTCTTTCAGTGTTTCCATTGCTGAAAACATGCTAATTAACAGTTAATGACAGTGTAAGCTCACTGAATGCTTGTGTTCCTGTGTTCCTCTATGCGTTTTCCCCTTAAGCTTCCATCATTCCCCAATTCATTTGTAGTCACTCAATGAGGATAGAAACACGGAGTGGAAAAATGGAGAACACTAAGATGCAGACTCCACTTAAGATGTGAGCAGTGAGGAACAGCTACTGTCCACCTCTTGTGAGGGAAGAAAGCGTTTAACACAGTGGGTTTATGTATCTATACACATAATCAGAGTTTCTTTGCCAAACATGGAAGTATGACTCAAAATAATGGCAAAAGAGGGGACTTAGCAGGGGACAGGCTAACAGAGAAACTCAGAATAAATTTTTGAAATAGATGGAGCTGTGAAAAATCCAGGAAATTGTGAATTATTTCTAGACTGATTTTCTTAAACATTTTAATGTAGATAAAGATGAATTTGTTAGGACTGGTTATTGGTGCCAGACCTGTGCTAAGGTAATCAATATTTGTACTAGGGAGTTGCAGCTCAAAACCTGACCAAAGAGATAAAACTATCTTCCATTATTCCTTAAGAAAAGCAGCATCTGGAGCTTGGGAGATTAGACTTAGAAGAAACAAGAGGTTTAAGAAAGGTATAATATTAAAAAAAAAAAAAAAATCAAAATCATTGACCAGCAAATACTTGAGCATCCCTGAAGCTCAATACACAGTTCAAAAGGAAGAGATTGGAATGGAGAAGCTCCTGCAGTCTTCAAACACAGACTTTAAAATGTATATGCAGGTGAGGCTATCATTTTACAAATATACAGGTACACTGCAAGAGCACCATATAAGTCACTCTGAAAAAAAAATTTTACAGAGAAGCATTGTATGCCAACAGAAGAATGGTTAAAAACATTTATCTTTATAAGATATTTTAAAGCTTTGATTCACAAGAAACACCATAACAGAGGAAAAGATAGCCTTCAAAGGCTGGGAAACAAGCCTGAAATGAAAAGCTTTTACTCCTGTTGTGTAACCAGAATAGGGAGCAGCACAGTATTACCTGAAGAAGCTATCAACTAAGTAAAGAATTAGAAGATAAATTCCATTTGTATTACTGTCAGACATCAGTTAATCCTTGCATTTCCAAAATTAATAGATTTTTTTGTAAAACATCACTGGAATATGCTGTACTGGAGTATGTGTGTAAAGTCATTGCAAGAGTGCTGTTTGTACAGGCAAGGGACTAATCTTCAACTTGTGATGTATTCAAATTGTTAAAATTCAATACATTTCTTTTTTTATCTGGCCTTAGGACTACCCCAGTCCTTGGGAATCATCCATTACTCCCAGACGCTGCTTCCTAACACAGGTATCAGTCCCACTGACTTGTCCCCCCAAGTTTGAAATTAATCCTCGCCAAGTGATAATTCTCACACAACCACCAGGATTCTTTTTGTTTCCCAGAGAAGTCTTCTCCCAGAGGTACCTAAAAGTCAAGTTTGAGATGCTTCTCAGGCTTAGCATTTACTTTCCTTTGATGGAGATATGTTCAATGCAGCTCCCTTCTCCTTCCACCAGTCATAGGAAAGGAGTTTCTGCTCTTAAGTTTCTTTGGTGAATGATCAACAGGTCCCACAGGACTCTTCCTGAATCTCCCATCCTAGCACACTACTCTCAGCATTCCAGTCACTGTTTGCCTCACTGTCAAGAAGGAAGAGCATTTCAGAGAGCTCAGTCCCATAGACCAATTTACTCCATGAAATACATGACCACCTTCTAGCTAGTTGCCCAATTTACCAAACATCCTTCTTGGGCCCTACTCCCTTGTTCTTTTGCAAACTATCATTGTGTAACAATGAGTATATCGTTATCCAAGATGGAGAGCAAAATGACCCTTTGCTCTCAGGTTGCAATATCACAGGATTACAGAAAGGTTGAGATTGGCAGGGGCCTTTCTAGAAATCATCTAGTCCAGCCCTCCTGCTGAGAGCAGATTGCACTTGTCCAGTTGAATTTTGAGTATCTCCAAGCATAAAGACACAACAAGCTCTTTGATCCAGCTGTTTCAGTGTTTGGCCACCTTTGGAGCCGAAACATTTTTCTTATGCCTAAATGGAATTTCTTCTATTTCAGCTTGTGTCCATTTTGTCTTATCCTTTCACTGGACACCTCTAAGAAGAGTCCAGCTCTGCCTTCTTTACTCCCTCTCATAATGTATTTTTAAACATTGGTCTTGAGAAGGCTCAGAGATCTTGTCAAACAGTCCCAGTTCTGTCAGCCTCTCTCATATGACAAATGGTCCAATTATCTTTGATAGCCTTCACAGGCCTTGCTCTAGGATGTCCATGTCTGTTGTACTGGGGAGCCCAGTACTAGCACTTCCTCATATTCTAAGAGATACCAGTCCTCAGGGTGAATTAGTGTTACAGACAATAAAAGAGATATCCCAGAATTTAGTGCTCGTGCTCTTGTTTTCCACATGCAAGAGGCAAAGGTAACAATAAGAAACCTCCCATCCTACTCCACAATTAGGAGAGCAAAAGAGAGATCAGGCCTTGGCTACATCCATTCAAGTCAACCAAGGAAGCTCGGCGTACTGACCTACAGTCAACCTTGCTGTTTAATCAGCAGTTCTTATAGAACTATGGTCCATATCATTTAAGGTTTCTCAGACTAATAACTAGACATGGCATGGGGAACAGCACAGCCGCTCCAAGCAATCAGCAGGTAAATGTGAAAGCTGTACTGTGCCATGTGTTCCTGAGGCCAGAGTTCCTTATGTACCCTGGACTAATTTATTTGCCTCTGGGACCAGTCGGAATTTTCTCTACTCACTAATTGTCTCTACCACAATGTAGAAACTGAGAAATGAAGATACAATAGCCTTTCTGCCCTGTTCCTCTAAGAAAATATAACACACCTAACCTGCATGAGCAGAGCATGCAGGTATAGTAATGTTCCACGCTTGGCTGCCTTCTGCTGCAAGGTTAAACAAGGATGCGGACAAAGAAATTAAATATACACAGTGAAATTAAAAGGAAGGAAACCCATTCCCCAGCAGCATTTATTTGTATTTAGAGTGTGAAAGCATGGAGATGTAACAAGACATGAAGGCAGTACACTGGATGATGAGCTTTCTTCAAGTATTTGCACTGTGTCACATTGTGTATACCCATAACCACAGCAGTGAAATCCTGTTTGTGAACCTGGTATTTCTTTTTTCATCTATGCATATCGAGTATTAATAGAATTTCAGAATATGAAACAACCCAAAACAAGACAATCCAAACCATGGCAAGATTTGTCGTAAGAAAATATTACAGTTGGTACAACTGATCACAACTTTACAACAGCTTTGTTGCCTCAGTGGGACAAGGAACCTTTCTTAAAAATATAAAAGAAGCAGAGCAGATACCAACACGAAATGCTCTGCATTTGTCATGCAAGGAGAGATTCATGATTGCATCAGCCTCCACAGAGAGTAACTGGAAGCTATCCGAGTGTGATGACTAAACAGAAACTGATCTGCTGTTTGCCAATTGGCACAGACTAGTATTGCCAGAGCTAGAAATGCAGAAAGCAGAGGCAAATAGTAGTAACCCCATCACTTCTACATATGCATTACAACACCACCAACAGGCAACATTTCCTGGAAAGAGCAGGAAACTAACAGAACAATTGTTTTAGGGTGGGGATAGGCAATGCTGTATTTATCCCAGCCGTTCCAAAAGCAATGCTGAGTCTGTGCTACTAACAGAATACTTCCTTCTCTTAACTTGCTCTCACAAGCCACTGCAGACATTGCTCCATTTCCCAAGCTGAAATCCCTAATCCTGAAATTTCTTAAATTAGTGCCCCACGGTGCTAAGCACATACTGAAAGGATGGTCAAGATTCCTTGAAGGCTCCAACCAAAGTACAATTTAGTATCATTTTAAGTCTCAAACCAACTTCTCAAAGCAGTACAGGCACATCTTATGGTTGAGGATTTTTTTGCAATTACTGTGTCACAAAACAATGGGAGAGTAGGCTGGCAGTCAGAGGTGCATTGGATACTCTGCTGCCCCTTGCTATTTGAAACTTTCACTGTAGGACTCCGATTGCAGGGGGTGTAACTACAGGCAGTACACTTCCTCTTCATTATTTAATATAGCCCCTTTAATGAGATGCTGACAGTCTTCAAAAAGACTAAATCTGTGAAAGAACTAGATTTACTCTAAAAAGCTCTTAAGATTTTAGCTGCTTGCCCAAAAAAAATACTCACCAAATAGTAACCACGCTTTCTGACACAAAGATAGTAGGATATAGCTACTACTTTAAAAAAGTGCAAATGAAAGGGCTAAGAACAGCCAAAGCAGGAACTGCAAACTCCCCTTATCTTGCCCTGCTTTTCCTGTTGCTTTCTGTTTTCACTCAGTGTCCATCCAGTCTAAATCCACAGCATCAGCTGAACAGCAGTTTTCACTAGGGAAGTGTGCACAAACATTAATTATGGAGGGAGGACATCAGTAGGATAAACACCAACTGGTGGAAAATTCCCAGTCTTGAGCCTTGGTCCATGTTTGACTTGTTTTTGCTGCTGTTTTAGCATACAGGCAGCACGGCTGGGGCTATCATTAAGCTGACAAATGTCATTCAAAAGCAACTGATTCTTCCTTATGAACTGTTCTGGGCTGCCAGAGACCAATTGTGAGTCAAAGCTGCATTTTGATGGGTCCCTGCTCCCACTGCAGTTTCTGGGCTATATGCTAGCATAATGTAGAGCAACCTCACCGAGCCTGGTTTGGCACCATAAAGCCATCTTTCATCACATCATTCTGATGGGTTCAGAAATTAGTTACTGTATTTCTAGCACAAAAAACTTGTGGTCTCAGTTTTTACCAAGCCTCTTTGTAAGCCAGGTCACTGCCCCCAACAGGCACTATTCCAGTAATTTTCAGGGCCACTTTATTACAGACTGTTCATTAAGCTTCAAATTCTGTGACTTACTGAAATGTAGGAGATAATTTTCAAGTATGACTAACCAAAATTCCCAGCTGTTTTCTTGTATTGATTTTCAGTACACATTTTCTCCTGCTTTCTATTGAGCCATTCCCACCTACGTGCATAAACACTTCTAATATTAGGCATTGATAGAATAGCAGTCATGCTAAAGAAGTTCTTGTTTCCCTAGTTGATTGATCATTTGGAATTAATTTATCACAGAACTATCTTCATGCAAATGCACTGGTATAAAAAACACTCTAGATGTATTTAAGAACTCCAGCTGCAGCAACACACTGCGAAAGGTAAGGTTTATGAAGGCTCTGCTAGATACTGTTTTTCAGTGTTTTGGTGTTGGGTTTTTTTCCAAAATTTCTTTTATCCACAAATGCCAAATAGCATATTCCTACATTTGACAATGTCAAGTTACCCGATATTAAAAATACTGTGCCCTTTCAGTGTTGGCTTTTGCCCTGCTAAGATTTTCTCTGGGTTCAAAGAAAAGTATTTTATTTGATTGAGCCTGATAAACTCAATGAGCTTATCTGAGAAGAAAAATCCACTAAGACAATCATGCCTGCATGATCAAATAGCACTGACAACAGTTAAATCTTTAGGTATCAAGTGCTCTTCTCTTTCCACTAAGAAAAGCCTGATTACACTGTTTCTTAAGTTTCCTGTTCTGAAAAACTAGATAATCTTTTTCCCCACTTAGTCCCAAATTTGTTCATCTTTCAGAATGGAATGATGGTTAACTTGAAGAACAGTCTGCAATTTAACAGTTTCAACAGCTCAAAAGAGATCCATTATATGAGTTTGGATCTGTCACAGGATATCAACTACTTGACCACAGATGAGAAAGTAGTCCTTGCTCTCTCCAATCCTCTCTACTTGGATTTAAGTCACTTCCAAAATCCAAGAATCAGCAGTCAGGTACCAGAAGTAGCAAGGACTTAACATCAAACTTCCAATACTCTCTCCTTACTTGTTTGGAAGCAGGACAGATTGTTGCTAGTCATCATCCTTTGTTGACATACTTTCAGACTGCAATTGCTTCTAGATGATCTACAATGAAGTCTTAAACCCCTTGCAAGAGATGAGACTAGATAAACTGAAAAAATGACCTGTCAAGAAATAAGAAAAGCTCCTCTTGACAGGGAAAAATAAAACCAACACTCAAACTGGGAGGAACTGGGTCTTACTGCTGTAGTACTCACCACTGTATGGAAGAGCTAGAGAAGCAAACGGAGAACTTGTACGTTTCTTTTCTTGTACAGGGGAATCTCCAGCACAAAGTTTTCTGTAGTAGTAATTCATTAACAATGAGGATCAGTGCAGCCAACAAGCAGGATGAAAGAGACAGAAACACTCTTTTCACATTCACTCTGCAGCTGCATGAGGTCACACTGCTTGCCTGCATGTGCAAAGCAGTGGAAGTAGATGGAAACAATTATTTTTGCAGTCCATCTTTCAACATCCTGGTATTGAATAAATACAAAGCTCCAGACTATCCAGTGGAATATAAATGAGTACACAACTTCTCCCTGTCAGACATTATTGTAGGGCTGTAGAACATGCCAATCAATTGGAGCTTTTGGCCTTGTTTGGTGAACTTAAGTCTTGGAAAAAATTAAGAATGAAAAGAGATCAGCTTGAAATAAATTTTCATTTTGGAAGCCAAGCCATTTTTAATTTTAATCAGACTGTATTAAAACTTTTTTCCAAGCCAAAATATTTTCAGTTAACTTGGACAGAATAATACCTTTGTCATAACAGTGACTGTTTCATAGATTCTCACTTTTTAAGCCAACCCAAGACAAGAAACATTTTAGATTCTCCACAACTTTCAAAACAGCTTCTTCATCTCATTGTACTCAATACAGTGGCAAGAGGGATTATTTAATAGAAAAAGCCTAAATTTAGTACATGACTACAGCACTGAGATGCACAGGTTGGTCCTAAATAGAGGAAAAAAACTGCATGTTGAGCAGAATCCCCAAAAGAATAGTATGAGTAACAGTGCCCAGCACAAAGTGAGCCAGTTTGGGGGCTGTCCTTGTTGAGCTTATGCAGCAACTAATGCCAAGGATCTTTGTCTTCATCTGCAACTTCGTAACACAACTGCAGTAAAGTTATCCTCATTGAAAGATATATTTCCTGACTTGTCAGGAAAAAAAAAACCAACTCCTAAGCTTTGATACAAACTAAGGTTAACAAGGTCAGTTAACTGTAATGCTCATAAATTAGCATATTCTAGTCAAGGTTTAAGTAGGTTAGTATTGTGTCTGAAAGCCTGTTCAAAGTTATTTCTATTGTCTTTAGTGAAGCAAAAACAGTATTTCACAGAAGGAAGAACAACCTAGATAGTAATCTTAGAAAAGTCTTAAATTAGGCAACTACCATTGCTGATATGACATACTAGCAATTCCACCAAGAAACAGTTACCTCAGTGCTTCCTCTGCAGCCCGCTACCAGCACCTTCAGTTTTTCCTACTTGCCTTTTTCTTTCCACCTCTCTTTTTTCCTTCAACAAAAGGCAGAAAAACAATAGAGGTGGCTGGCTTCAACTCTTATTCCCATACTCTATCATTCATATCACTTAACTACTTTCATTTATTTTTTTTTGAGATTCCTAACCTCCATTTGTCCTCAAGCAGGACGCCTGTTCCTCTTGCCTTCTTTAAACTGTTTTTTCTGACAGCATCCAACATTTTCAGAGAATTCAATTTGAGCTCTAACAACTTCCATGACCTCATACCTTTTTGCAAAGATTTTTTCATCTGGCTTGGAATCTAAAGTAGAAGTTAAATTACTAAGTTTCTTCAAGAGCTGTAGGCAGAGATACAAGTTAAACACCTAGAACAATAAAAGTGGCAGGAAAGAGGGCTAAGGAATGCTTGTAAACGTGGTAGTAAGCAAGAATGCCTGTCCATAACGTGTGAACACTGAAGAAAAGTGTATAATAAAGGCAACACTGAATTACTTAACTGCCACAAGAGACCAGCCAATGCAGTTCATCCAAACACTGAACGTCCCATCTTGGAACCATATGCGAGTTCACTGCAAACCAGACAATGTCATCATCCCCAACCTTTATACCTAGTTACACTCACCTCCAAGCACTACACATTTGAATCTACTACTTTCCTCGAGTGACTCAGTCTGGTTTTTTATAACTTCTGAACTGTAGTCTAAGTGCAGTAAGACAGCATCCATAAATAACTCCAACTAGATACATATTGCTGCATTAAGGTTTTTGGACTTTGGTTTGTTAGATTTTACTTCAGCAAGTGATAGAGGTTCATGGGTAACTCAAGTATTCAGAGCAGCAGCATCAAGACTGTGAGCAAGTAGTTAAAGTTGCTTTAGAAAGGTATTTGTACTCGTTTGCTATAATAAAAAAAAGTCTAATCTTTGATTTACTCTGAGGAAGTGTGCTTAATGTTGACCTCCATGCTCTAGCGAGTGTCTGGCTGGTATTATCTATCCCACAATAGAGTTACTTTTTAAAGACAGACATAGTTGTTCTCTTGCACTCTTCTCAGAATAATGAAAAATAGCTTTACTTGTTTTCAGCAGCAGCAGTTAGCAACAAGAATACAGTTTTCCTTGAGACACAGAAACCAGGCAATCTAGATGGATTCCAGGAAATGCAAGACTCTTGAAAACCAAACCACACAGTAGCAATACCAGGTTACTGAGCAAGATCCTGCTCAAATACAGAAAACCAAGCTATCTGTGCTTTCCTATATATTCAATGCAAAAAACACTTCAGGTATCTTCAATAAAGATGCCTTTTCCTGGAACTGTTTTATTTTGTCTGCTAACAATGAATAGCTGGTCTTACATTATCAGTCTAAACAATTCATAAAGTTTTTACTTGTGTCTTGGAAATCAATTTCCCTGACTTCACAAAGCTATACTTCTTTTGAAAGGTAATATAATAATACCCTGCTAAGCACAGGTTTTAAGTTCCATAAATAAAGTCCAATCAAACTGCAGCTTAGACAGGAAGGTTTCCAGTATTTTTCATGCTGTAGCTTCAGAGGATTTTTTAAGAAAGTATTTTGCCAATAGCAACCAGAACCTTTCTTAGTCACGCAAAATTTTCAGCTTCTTTACCCCACCTAAGTCTTCAGTAGTAATAGTTTTAGTTTTGCAAGAGACTTAAGAGTTAGCAACAACATGACTTAGTTTTGTAATTGACAGAAGTCACACAGAATGCCCCAACCACAGAATACACTAAAGAAAAACTTCAGCTGCCAGCAGAAAGATATTCTACATACTGTTTCTATTTCAAAGTAGTCAAACAGAACAATTGCTTGGGTAAACACCTAGTATTAATTTCCAGACCAGAACTACATCTGTCCACTTCAACAAAGTGGAGAAAGCTCAGTGCTGGAGAGAACACATATGCTCTGGTGTAGGTAAGCCCTCACAACTCATCTACATATCAAATATAATTGAGGTTGGGTTGGTTGGTTGTTTGGTGGGTTTTTTCCCCCCATCTCTGCAAAAAATCCAGATATTCAAATGAACTTGGAATCAAAAAAATCTGGAACTCCTATTATGAGAGATTCCAGTCTTGAACATACAGTCTTGCCAGTTTCATTCCTCATATCAATACCTACCACTTACAAGACTTGCTTTTATCTAACTGTATGGATTTGAAGCTACCGGTTTTAAATCTAACTGACCTGTTTTTCAACTTTGGCAAGGCTCACTGTTAAGTTAGATATATGAATGTTAACTTAATGGTGTTGCTATACATATAGGCACATAATCATGAATTTTAGATACGCACCAAAGCTATGTGCAGTCAGGAAATTTTATCTTCACTAGCATGGAGAAGTCACCTTTGTTCATCAAGCATACAACCACGTCAGAAGAGCATGGCAATGGTAGCTTAAGAAGAAGTATCTACACCACAGTTTAGACAGAAAGGGAAGAAGTGCACCAGGACCAGTCTGTATCAAAGCCATCTATTATTTCAGAGAAAATAAAAGTCATATTGAAGACAGCACACTTCTTACATGTCAAACTGATTAGTTACCATTACTCCTTTGTGCATCAAAACGTACCCACACCATTCAGTGCATTCATATGCAATACTAATTCTACCCTTCAGAAAAAGGAAGGCCAAGGAATATTCTATTTTGTCATTGACATCACCTTTACTGTTTTTCCAAGCATGACAAGTTAAAAAAAAAAAAGTCAGAGCACAAAACATTAAGTTTCAGCTACCACCATTTGTGTTCCTTTGTGATAGTAGTTTATACACTTTTTTCTGAAAACCCTCCTCCCAGAACTTAAGTGGGCTTCAAAACACTTTACAAGAAAAAAGAGCAAGTCAGGTGTAAGTTCAGTTCTGTCTAGATTCCCCAAAGTTACAATTACATCTGCTAAGTTTCATATCTTCCATTTAATCACTCCAAATCAGTAACAGATCTAGTTAATGCCAATTCATTTGCTCACTCAAGCTCTGCAATAAAGGGGAAAAAAATGCTCATTAATAATTTATGATGTTGTCTTGGGACACAAATGTATTAATGCATCTTAGGAGTCTCCCATGCATCTGGTTTAACTGGCTACCAGACAGACTTTCTGGGGATATTCTGAGAGGCCAAAGTAACTGCAGAGGCAAGATATACGCATGCACCAACTGTTTTAGCTGGGAGTCAAACACCTCAATGTTAAACAGCAGTCAAAGGAAGTATTCCCTTCCCACTAAGGAGGTACTCTAACACTGCTACTTGCCGAAAAGGCTTAAAAAAACCCCAATAATCCTGTTGCTATGAATGTACCAAAAAAAGCTGTTTTCAGGGAGGGGGAACAGAATGAGCAATTCAACAATACACATGAAAAGCTTGCATCTTTCACTGACTTACTCACTTCACAATCACTGACAAGACTGATGTACATATTTCTGCATCTGCAATTGTAAAAGCAGATAAAATATTTAATATGTAATTTACAATGTATTTTACCAGCTTGGCATACAGGATGAACAGAATATATCAAAGTAGTTGACAGTTATAGGCTTGTAGAGGCCCTGCAAAAATATTACTTCAGATATCTGCTAATTTAAAAAAAAGAAATCAATTTGCATTTCAGAAGTGATACAATTCAATCTACCACAAAATACAAAGAGCTGCAAAAACGTATACCATTCCAACAACAATGTATATAAGTTATTAAATAATGATCTGATTTAAAAGAATATAAATGAAGCCTTTAAGTAGGTCTTTTCTACATGCATATTATTCCTCATTAAAGAAAAATATGTAAAAAGGCCATTGGTAATTGCTTTGTTAACCACTGTAGAAAATGCCAATTCTCTGGTCACAGGCGCCACTAGTTTAGCACTTAAGGTCTCTGCAGTGTTACATGTGATTATTTTTAAATACTGTTAATCCTATTACTCCATTGGTAAAGAATGCGTGACTTGGAATATGGCAGTCTTCATATAGAGAGGGCAACGATGCACAGTTTTATAGTTATCCAGAAGAACAGCACCCTCCACTGCTCTGTACTTGTGGCTCGTCATCAATGATCTGTACACCTCGCCTTGCTGTTCCTGACTGACTGGAACCATTGCCTCTTGCTCTTTCATCCACTTGAGCAGTTTCTATCATTCCTGTAAAGGAAGATAAGTATTAGATGACATTCCACCGCGTTTTCACACAAGACTTTGAGATCTTAATCTGTTTGAGTTACATGCACAAAGTTCAGCAAGACTGGTTCTCCTATTTGTTATGCAGAAATAAGTACTCCAGTGTAACATGGCATAGCTGCAAGAATATACTTAAATCTTCTTCCTAAAGCACCAAACATCCAGCAGTTCCTGTTCACTAAAGGAGACTTTAGATGCTCAGATGCTCTGGAGCTAGTGACTTGAAAAGCTAGATTTACCTACCTGTATCATGAACATTCAGCACCCCCTAAAAAAACCCCCAAAACCAACACCTCCCCTGTGTTACAATGTTCTTAACCTACATTCCATGGTCTTTTGTTTAGATCTGTGAACCATTTGCTTAGACTGCTGTGTACAATTTGCATCATTACAACTGAGTTTATGATTTGTAATTGACATAATTTGAGATTTTTCAAAAGAGGTTGAAACAAAGGGTTTGAAACAGACAATAGCGAGACCAGTCACATGAAGTTTGATTTTAAGTTACAGTAGCCAGTGCTCCAACAAAGTGACAAAAAGGCATTTTTGAAGTACAGCATGACTTTGCTATTTTAAGCATCCATACAAACTCCCATAGCTGTTACAGTACGCAGGTGGCTTGAAGCAGACTGTCAGTTCTTGGTAATAGTTCACATTAAGGCTTTTCTATATGGTTTTAAGCACCCTGAAGCCTTGAGCATTTTGTCAATGAGCTCTTTACCAAACTAGATAATACCTACTTTTACAAAGGTCAAGAAACAGTTCTTCAATTCCTTTGTTCTGTTTAGCTGAAGTATGATAATGTTTTGCTCCAACAGATTCAGCATACCTGTAGGAATACAGATACAGAGTTTCATTGTACTGAAGGACTCAATCTTTCTAAGCCACTTTACACGAAGCAAAGATGACTGCTAGAGGTTTTATTCTAAGTTCAGAGTTAATCTACAGATGCTGATATAATGCAAAAGGGGAACTATGTGGTTAAAACTGCCAGGATCCATGAAAAACACTAGGTGAAGTTAAGAAAATTTCATGTCTAGAAACACATTTAAACTACAAATGTTGACTTTAATCATGTACAACTCAAGTTACATTTTGGTCAGTAAGGACATTCTGGGCTCAGATACTAACAGAACATTTAACACAGCAGCCAGCTTTGTCAACTGCTGGTCTATGCCTGCCAGTTGTTACCAGCACCACAAGTTTATTACTGCAGCATAACTTGACAATGACTGTTTCTATTAATAAACTGGTGTGACTTACGTTTCTGCTTCTTGCACTGAAACATGTCTCTCTTTTTCCAAGTCTATTTTGTTACCTGTTGGAAACAAGTTCAACTTTCAAGTCATTGTGCTCCAAAATTACCCAAAAGAAAGCAATCATGTAATCACTGTACCCTACCATTTTCTTACAAGCCGTCCCTGTAAAGAACAACTTTTACAGAAGTCTCAATTTGGAGCACAACAATATAATTTAAGAATCCATTTTCACACAACAGGCAATGAAGATGAAGTTCTACTTCTGTAGAGAGATCAGAACAGCTAAATACCTCCACAGAAGCCACCAATTCAGCCTTCTGTTTTTCTTTTGTAATTTGTCAGGCAGCTTATCTGTGCTGCAGAGGTAGTTTCTGTAAAATATCCATACATCTATCCTCCTGAATGTGTTCTAATCACTTTTAATCACCAATTTTAAATCTAAAGCCTGCATTTCTATTGCATTCTGTTTGACTGAAATAGCCAGGCTTTAAGACTCATTCCACCTTCCAAGCACTTGATTATGAAAACATCCAGTCTATGCCACTAATAACAGTAAAAAACATGTTTTACTACTTGCAAGAAGGATAATACACATTTGAGGTTTGTTTGTTACACTTCAATCTGCAGGTGACCGTACCATGCACTGACATGGTGTATCATTAAACAACTTGTCTTTCCAAACTAACTCTTATTTTTCCTCAATGTGATTTACTTAAAATTCTACCTCCAACTAAATTTTAAATATCAAACTAACATAGGCTTTACCCCTTCACATGTACAAGCTGTCAATGTTTGGAATATGCTATTAATAAAAAGAAACATTTCTGATTCACTCAGAATCACGTTAAAAAAAAGACTTACCTACTATACATAAACAGATTTCATTTCCCAACATTTTTCTTAATTCCTTAACCCAGTTTTTTACCTGCAAAAAGAATAGAGGTTAAGTGTATTTTCACTTGATATACTATTAGCTCAAGCACTGCTGAACTGACCCATTTCCTTCATTAACTGTTTAGTCTAAGCACGTTTAGAGCAACACAGATGGACAAAATATTCTTTAGATAGCTACGCATGACCCTTGTTCAGCAGGTTTTAGTTTGCAGTTGAAATTAAGAGCAAATGACTGAAATAAAATGGTTCAGTTACTCCAGAAATATAACTCACTATACTGGTATTAGCCCCACTCCAAAGAACAAGCTCACTGCATTGGCCACTTTAGGCCAATGAGATCTTTTATCAACAGGCACTTACTGACAGATCACAAATGGTACTTTAAAGGTAGAGGTACCTGAACTGAGTTGTTCAGGTTAGACTATAACAGATGTTTGTTTCCTGAGAGAACAGATGGGACAAGAGTGCCAAGTCAGCTGATGGCAAGGTATCTGTTGCAATTCTATTGTCACGCTTTGAAGTCACTTGACTCTTTATTGTCACTTGATTATGAAAGCAGTACTCACAAGTCACCACAATTCTGCACAAGGGGGACAAGAGTTTAACTGCTAAGCACAAGTGCTTTACTTGCCCTACATCAGGCTATTTAAATTACTTAAGCTGTTGTCAAACTATACCTTTACTTCTATCACTGCTAACCCAAGCCTTCACCATATAACCACAATTTCTTACTCCTCTACAAAGAGGTCCTACTACTTTTGCCACAAGCTCACCCAAGACAAACTCACTTAGGAAAGAATGTAACCAGTTTTCAGCTGGAACACCCTATGGAGCAATAGCATTGATTTGACAGTGTTGGAAAAAACTCACCTGCCCAGACTCATCAACTTATACTTCTGTAAAATACATAGCCATTAAATTTCAGGTTCTAGTGAGGATTTGAAGTCCAAGTATCTAGTATCACTGAGAAAGTAATGTTTTCATTGCCATGTATTGCAATTTCAGAGTTCTCAGACAGTAAAAGGCCATGTCGCTTAGTATCTTTTAGGAACTTGTTTTATACAGTAGAGATCAGTATTGCATACTATCACAACAGTACTGATTTATGTATATAGCCTGTAACAGTTAACTCATACATCTAATTCCCTCATGTTCTTTGAATAACCCTGCCAGAACTTTAGTAGACAGAAAAAGTCAGCCTTCAAGAGAATACTAACAAGGTATATACTCCCATTATATGGTCTAAATTTGCAGATGTAATATATATTGTTAGTGCTGAAAACAGAAGATTCCCAGTTACACATTTGGATCACAGATTACCTTTCAATCAGTTTACATCTTGCACAGAGGTAAAAATCTGTCCAGTACCTTTTGAAAAGAGTCTTCATCTGTTATATCATATACTAGAATAGCGCCATTAGAATCCCTGTAGTAGATCGGCCCCAATGCATGAAATCTTTCTTGACCAGCTGTATCCTGCATTTAAAATTACACTTGTTAGCATCTAAGAAAAAGCAAACAATACTTCAAGAAGTTCCAAATACTTTGAAATCTTACTTTATTAGGAAGTGCCTGACATTTGAGTTCTAGCAAACCCAAGTAATTTTCCAAGAAAATATTCTATTTAGCAAGGGGAAGGAAAATAGGAAAGTAAACATACATACCCATATTGCAAGGTTTACTCTTTTCCCACCAATATTTAGCTTCTTTGTAAGAAAAGATGCCTGGAAAGCAAAACAGATTAGAGTTAAGTTTTGCACATGAATGTCTCATTTGACTTCAAACTGATTTACTAATAAAAACATCTGAATCAATAAAAGACAGATTTCTGGATCAAAATACTCTAAGCCAGAAGGCTGAGTCAATACCGAGCCAGTTAATCATTTCACTACAGTTTGCCAGGAGTCCATTCTAAATAAATTTGGCTCAAGCTAATCATTTACTACATCTTTTTGCTGTTGTTTTGAATGATTTGGGAAGGATAAGAGTTGTGTGGAAAGAGTCTGAATTCACAACACTGATAAGTCTAAGCTGAACTCAAAGCATTTCCCAAGAGTACATGAAGTTTGGGTGGGAGCCAGCCTAACAGGATTTTGAATTTGCAGGAATTAGGCAAAGTAGTTCACTGTTAGTGAGCTACTAGAACAAAATAACATAATTTATCACTAAAAGATTCAGAACACTAGTATTCTGCAAGTTTTCTTGTCTGCATCTTCTCTCTTTTCTCACTGAAGTGAGCCCACAACTCTCCCCATCTGTTTTGGGGGGGACTTTTTTGTGGAAGTGGTGTGGTTTGGATTTTTGTGGTTGGTTGTTGTTTTTTTTTTTTTGCACTAGACACTGTTCCTTAAAGCTCAGTGATATGCTTCTCAGCTAAAACACAAAAGCAAGCAGCAGGATAAGAAAAGCCTCAGAATAAGCATACAAGCTGCTCTAAGAATTCCACTACGTTATCTTCTGAAAGTGTTTTAAGAGGACCAAAGCATATTGCAAGGTTAGTCTAATTTCAGTAACTGAAGAGTATGTCTGTTCTTCTCCAAGACTGCATGATCCACATTTTCAAACACCATTTCTGTTACCAAGTGTATAGTTTGGTGGCTAAAAAGGGGCATAATTTAATAACTTTAATAGACTAGGACAGGGTCCAAAGGAGTTAGCACATTAGGAATCTGCTCCCCCTGTTATGAAGTCTAGCAGTAACAGGTTAATATCAGAAAATTCAGTTGCCAAGGGTTAACTTTTGTCTTTTTCCTTAAATTGTACCTAGTTTTCATTTCAGCTTTTGGACACCAACAAGTACTCAGTGGTATCTTACGATATAATCCTAGATTATTTTAGGCTGGACTGTAGCAGCTCAGTATGAGCATTGACCAGGCACTGAACTGACTAAAAGTCATGTGTACGTGGGATGTGGCATGGGCCAGATCAGCTGCTTAACTACATAAACAACAAGTACAGAAGACCACGATAGTCCAATTTACACCAGCCTAAACCGCTATGAAAGTGCCTCTCTAGAATGCTGCCTGTATTACAGTTAAAAGTCATCCAACACTCAGCTGCTAGGGCAGCTCCTGCTCTTCAGCTACTTCCCTAACATCAGCTCTGCCATCTGTATGACCCAAGTTGAGATGATTCAAGATAAGATAGCAAAGAAATAATCATGACCATTGCATTCAACATAACTAAAGCATTAATGTTACCCCATCAGTCTACAGCAAGGTGGCATAAGTCAACTTCAGAAAAAGTTGCAGATAGCATGTTTAAAAGTATTTAACTCTAGCCAACTTATAACAAACAGCTCAACAGTGGAGTAGTAAATCTTAAACATCAGGAAAACTTTAATTCTCTAATAAAAAGCTCTGCAGAAAGTAGTTCATGGCTTCCAGCTAGCTGTCCCTAAGGATTATCTGATCAGTGTCTAGTCTTCATTTAATAATTTGTTCTACTACACCAGAGTTTAAAAGCTAAAAACTTCGAGGTGATTTCAAAAGTTTTAATTCACTGATACTTGGGCCATGTTAAGAGAAGTTATGGTTAGACACAATGAATCAAGCTTACCTGACAGTGCTTTATTGATATGCTGTACTACAGTACTTGATATTCTAAGTCTCAAAGGAAAAGCTCTTCTGAGCATTGTTTGTTTTTGTCACAACACTGACAATCGACTCTGCTCAGCTGATACAAATTTCATATAAGTGTTTTGATAACCACATTTCTGGACCAAAAGGGAGAAAAAGCCTCCACAGAAACAGGATTTATATTTAAGAAAAAACTACAGAACTCATTATCCATAAAGTTATATCATCATAGCTTTAGACATTGACCCAATTAATAGCATAGATAGCTTTACTATCTGAAAGAGCAAAGTAGGCTTATCCCCACAGAAGTTTTACTCAAGTAATACCAGTCCTTCAGGTCACTACAGCTTTTGACAGCAATATGGTCTTTTAGCACTAAGAGTTGGGTATTTCCTTTCCTAAATACCCGAGTACTAGAAGACCCATACAATTCAAGTAAGGCTTTTTAGTGTCTCCTAGAGAAAAAATAATCACAGGGGACTGTGGCAATTGTACTTGTTCTCTGCATTAAAACTTGATCAATTTGTACTAATTAAGTTTTAGTCTACCTTAAGTTTGAGGCCCCTAACCAAAAAAGGAAGAGAATACGCTATACCAAATCAAATACCTTGATTACAAGCAAGTCTGTCTAAAAAGCTGGCCCAAAAATAAGATTGGAACCTGGTTTTCAAAGTAGTCATGGTTAGTAATGAGCTGAAGACTTTGTGAACATGCTGCGAGAAACAGTCAATACTATATTACAGACTAAATGCTTCCTTCTTCCTCACTGTGTTCATATACCTGAAGAATACTGTTAGCAGGCTCCGTTCTTGTATTAATAAGTATGGGTAAGTTTGACATATTTACCATGAGCAAAGTGTATTTTTCAGGCACAGTGACAAACGTGCCAAAGGCAAACCAGCTAATATCTACCTTTTAACACCCCCCACTTCCTTCAAGTTTCATTTGTCTCATGGAAGAACAAAGTTACTACTCTTCACTTCTTCTGAGGTTAGACAGCAAGAAAATAATCAGGTGAACAGCAGGACTACATTGTTTTTAGAAATGTGGGGGGAGCTCAACATGGAACTAAGAGCCTTAACGACTATTTTGAGACAGTTTAGGAAAAAAGTCAGCTGCCAAGAGTGTCAAAGCCTTTGAAATGAGTACAGACTAGACAGTGTTAAGTAACCATACACAGAAGAGGATTTAACATTTTTTCCTCATCTCCCAAGAATGTGCCAAATTGGGTCTGAGTTGTGACTCAACTTACAATCACTAACTCTTTTCCATATTATTTTCATTACTATGACAATTCATTTCTGCTAGGACTTTGAAAAACCCACAAATGTATAGGACCACAGTTAATTCAAATATAAATAATCTCAAACAGGTCTTTGAAGTAAGCTACTAATTTTGGTATTTCGACTCTAGTGTCTTATGACTGGTCTGAACAGCACTCACACACTTAGAAGAAAAAGATAATGCAATTATAAGAGCTAAAATTCCATTCTCTTTATATGCCTGTAGAAAATATTTTCTTTCTTTTAATTCTTTCTTCTAAAAGCTCAGTTTCACATGCCCTTCAAGCCCTGTTAAGAGCTGATAAAGGGGCCTGAGTAAACACAAGACCCAGCTAGAAAAGATTCTCTTGAGAGTCACTGAAAAGTCTCTCTGAAAGTCACTGAAGGGACAGGGGTATGTCACCTGTCCCTTGACCATTTCACCTTCAACAGAGCCAAGCCAGGTATACGACTAGCATCACATCAGTGGCTCCTCTGGGTTGGATATTTTGCAGTCCTCCACACATTTGAGAGATCAGTACACAAAGTTGTATTTATCTTGAGTAATAACTAACAGAAAGTGTCTACCCAAATGTTTTAAAAAACATTGTTTGACAGTAGGTTTGCTGTTCACTTTTATCAATTTATAGCTTAGAATCATTTTATCAAGAGAGGAGCACTGACCTCAATATTTCAATCAGTAGGAACTAATTCTAACCGTTCCACCAGATCTAACAACAGGTCATGGACTGTATTCCTTGCTTGCAAGAAAGCCCCACCTTTCCTGCATCAGCTTTCTCACACTGTTCTAGATAAATGTTTCTTTATTTCAATTTACCTTAATTTCAATTTGCAGGTCATCAATATCTTAGGTACATGACTCAAAGCTACTGTAACTACACACATTCCAGCAGCCTCCTAACCTCAAAGGAAGTTCCAGTTCACCATTTCCGTCTAGCTTGCATTTAGGGAAGGGAGCGGAGTGTGTAGACGAGAAGAGAAACAGCTCCCTGTCTCTTGTGCACTAACAGAAGGTTTTTAGTGAAACTCTCCTATTTGGGTGTACACAGGTTATGTTCACGATAGAGTAACGCTTAACTGTTAGAATTCAAGGAAAGCATAGATATACATTAGATAAGAGACTTACACTGACCAATTCAAAGACTTCTGTGCTCTCTCCCCATCATCAGGCTCACTGCAGGAAACACTAGTTTCCAGAAGGCTACAGTCTTATTATCCTTTTTGTTGCAATTATATTGAAATAAAGCACTATGCAGTACTTTTTTTTTTCCTAAATCGGGGATTACTGTGGATGGAGAGCCTCTAGTCTCCGTATCTAGTGATCTTTTCATATGATTCATCACTGTGGCTCCTTTGCTGAATCAGAAGCTAAGTATTTATCTAATTTTGGTTTTATAGGAACAAGAGTAAGTTGCTGCAACACTCTGAACTGACGCCACAGAACAAAGCCACTTTATGAGATTAAGCCTCTAATCTCAAAAAAAACCTAGAATGTTGTGCAAAAAATGTCACCTCATTGTTTAATCAGATAACCTAGTTTCTCCTTATTTTTAAAGGGATGTTTTAAATTGTTAATAGAACTTACTAACATTTTCCTCTAGAACTGTAAAATGTAGGAAAACAAGAATAACAGAGATAATACTTCATAAGTACAGATGATGTACAGCAAGATTCAATGGCAATTAACACTGAATTTTACAATCAATAAGATGTATACGTGGCTAAGGAGGCTCAGAACAGAAAAGCAAGTGAGTTGAGAAACACATTGCAGTCAGTTAAAAGATACAGGTAGCAACCAGAAACCTAGTCACAGCGGAGAAACAAAATCTCAAAGTGTGAGCATGTGCTTCCACTTCTCCACAAACATAACACACACCCCACTGCAGGCAAACCTGAAAGCTCTGAAGCCATAGTACCTAGAGACATTTTACTGTTTACATTTTGGAGCCATTTAAAGGCCCATTTTATGACATCTGTGACCACAGTCTGTATTCCAACTCACTTTTTGTTTCTAATTTTAGGTTTTCCACTACAGATTTCAAGAACATAATTAACATTAAAAACACACCAAGCTGCATCACATGACAAACTACTCAGCTTTACTCTAGCTACATGTGATACCAGAATCCAGCTATATGTACTCATTTAGATGCACTGATTGTTTGCTCAATGCTGCACTTCAGCTGAAAATTACAACTGCAGGCCTGACACTTACAAGCTGCTAGTCATTTCTGCAGGTAGCAAATATCAATTAGCTCTATGGCAATTAGAGCCACAATCAGTTTGCCATAATCACCATACCTAGTAAACCGACCAACTGCATTCATCCAACAGCAGAGTATGAACGTATGAACATAAGGTAACTAAGTTTAAAATATGTTGGGTTTTGAGCTTTATATACAGCATCTGTTTATGAAACATACACTGTATTGTTTGTAGTGCTTCTCTAATGTGGCTTTCACTTTAAGGGAAAAATTCACTATTAAATACTTCTGGGATACTCAACCCTATAAGAATTTTCCCCTAAATGCACAGGAATAGCGTGCAACTACCCTTAGGCCCTACTTTAGCATCGCCTACTATATATTCTGTGCTTGACAGAATCTCAGAAGTAGTTAAAAGCCCACTAATGACCTGCACTGTGACAGGGCTTGTTTCTTTATTCACAACAAAAGAGCATTAAGTACACTATACACTACAGCACTAAAACCACACTTTCATATACACGTTCACAATGGCTAAGAAAGATCCTGTGCAACTGGTGTAACCGCAAACAAAAAGGTTAAACAAGGAGAGACATCCAAAAAGACTTAACACACAACCCACAACACAAAATTTAAAACATGTTTTCTGAGACCACGTAGAAGATAAACGTTTTAGTTCCTACCATGGCATACATACCATTCAACACCAGTAGGTAATGCACAAACATAGCTTTCAAGCTGACACCCTGTCACACACTCCTGAGTGAAACATCGCTTTTTTGTTGTTTACAAATTAGCAAACAGTACTACTGAGAACTGGGCCAAAATTCAGGGAGATAATGTGACAAGCAAGTAAACCTTAAGAATCTTTTGTGTTATTAAATCATAAGCCTTAATCTCATAAACCATTTTGCGAACGCTGTTCTCTTTAAAGAGCAGTATTTAGGTAGTTCTAGTGTTAGGATTTGAGAACATGAGGAAGACTATAATTAACAGGAATGGGGCACGTCTGAAACACTTAGTCATCAGTCCACTACCGACGACTACAATAGCGACATTACTTTCAAATCATACTTCCCAAGATTCAAATGAAGACACTCATACGTGTAACTGGAAAAAACGAATAGCTTGTACTCAGAATAGAAACGAGGTATTTAAATACTGAAAGCTTAAGTCCGAGGCGTTAAAAAGAACCAGAAAATTCGCTTCCAGCAAACTCGGCAGGGGACAGCCACCATTTGAAGGGCGGCAGCAGTCACCTCGGCCGCCGTTAAGCGGTCAACAACCGGCCAGCACCGAAACCCCAGTGCGGGTTCAGGGGGCGACACTCCGCCAGCCCCAGGGCGGAAGGAGCCGGCCAGCGACGGCCGCAGGGCAACTAGTGGCGGGCTGGCACTGGCCAGAACCCTAAGAGCTGGGCAAGGGAATAGGGGAAGAGCAGCGGACCCCCCTTCCCCAACACTCTCCCCCCGGCCCTAGCCCGCTAGCTGCGGGCAGGGTCTCCCCGCCCGCCCCCGGCCCGGCGCGGCCCGCACCTGCAGCGTGGTGATGTGCTTGTCGTTGAACTTGTTCTCGCAGTAGCGCAGCACCAGGGAGGTTTTCCCCACGCAGCCCTCCCCGAGCAGCACCACCTTGAAGGAGAAGCTGCGGCCCCCGGCCGCCGACCCGGCCCCCGCCGCCATCCGCGCCCCGCCGCCGCCGCCTCACATCAACGGTCCCGCACCGCGGCCGCGAGGCGCCGCCGCCGCCACCAACCGGGACGGGGACCCGCGGGGAAACGGGCGGACTCTCGGGGCTGGAGGGAGAGGGGAAGGTGCCGCCGAGGCTCCCGGGGAGACGACGGGAGCGTGAGGGGAGGGACGCCACGAGCAACAACGTTCCTCACGGCCGACGGCCCCGCTCCCCTAATGGCGTCTTCTTCCTCCTACGTCACGCGCCGCTCAGGTCACGCGCACCTCCTCCCGCCGCCAATGGGAGGGGCGGACGCAGCGGCGGCGTGAGGCCCCGCCCCCGCGGCGCTGAGGGGAGAGGGGCGGGGCGCAGCGCGGCGGGAGGCGGCGGCGTCGTCTCCTCAGGCCGTTCTCGGGGCCGGGTGCGGGTTACTCCTCCGGCAGCGCCCGCACGGGTGCGGGAGCCGCGCTGTGAGTCAGTGTGTGCGCCTGCCGGCGGCTCCGCGGGCACTGGCGGCTCCTGGCCCGGCCTGCGCGGGCGGATCGCCTCCCGACAGCGGCTGGATTTTTTCATTGCCCGTAAAGGGCAGCCGGAGGGGCGGCTGGGGCGAAAGCGAGGTGCGCCCGAGGGAGGGAGGGAGGGAGGGAGCTCCTCCTCAGGCCTGTCCTGTGTCTGTGCGTGTGTCGTCGTCCGCCCGCTGTTTCTAAAAATAGGCGTCTGTCCCCAAAACTCGTAGTGGGGGGAGCGATGAGGCGGACGGCTGAGCGATTGGCCCTCCAGGCCCCCAGGGCAACAAATAGCTTTACCATATCTAGAAACAGACCGTCGGCAGAGAAGGAAATCCATGCAAGATTTATACATGCGCCCATATGAATTTGCTTTTAAATGTCGCGTTAAGGCTTTCAAACGCAGCAAATGTACCTACCAAGCATCTCCCTGTGAGCAGGAAGCCAAATAAGCATCACAAGGGCAGGTTTTGTTTCAATTTCGGTGGTCCTGCCCATGTGAACTAAGTTACACGAGTCTCTAAACCGGAGAAGAAAAAAAACAGTCTGTAATAAAATGGTTCAAAACTCTGCTGTGAAAGCAGAAGGCTCTTGTGCTGTGATGAAAAAAGCACAAGAAAAACACTGTTGAGTTCCTGGATTGTAGGTTCTGTTATGCTCAGGAACTAGATAACTGCCTTGTAACACAGGTTGTCATTCCTTAATTAAAAACAATCCTCACAAACCAATCCAAACTACTGCAGTGTAACTTCTGCCTGATGACCATTGAGTAGTAAGAAAAATAAGGCTTATGAAAAGGCATCCTAGTGCAATTTCCTTTTTTCTCTGTCAGACAGTATTAATGCTCTGTTGTGTGAGAAATGATAGAGGAAAGAACAGAGGATGCGTCCAGGAGAACAAAGATCAAATTTCCTGAAGCAAGAAGCCTCATTACGAACAGCATTACATTCACATACAAAATGGATTGATTTTATTTTCTCCAGATGTAAATAAAAGAAACCTTTTTATTTTATCCAGCTGTAAATAAAGGACATGGGACCAGGTTAAAAAAAAAAAAAAATCAATGCAGATGCAATCTTCAGGAGTATCTTTTCTTTAAATAAACACCCAGTTTTATTAGCACATAAGTGGTTTCAGGAAGTTGCTATAAAAACACAGTCTTGCTGGAAAGCGATGCTGGCTTCTGCCAATCATGCTGTCTGTGTACAGGCAGTAAAAGGGGCAGTTCTTCTTTGAGGCTGAATAGAAGTAAGATCTGGGTTCGGATGAAGGTTGCCAGAGACAATGGAGATCAATGCTCCTGAGCACAAGCTGCTCTGCTTGCAGGGCCCGGCAGGTTGAGGCTTTGCTGGGTAACTGGTGGCAAATGCATCTGCTGAGACACAGGGCTGTGCGGAAGGCTGTTGTGAAAACTGTTAGCAAAAAAACATTCCTGTTCTGGGAGATTTTTACTGTTTTCAACAAAAGCAGGTTCTGCGTACATTCTTTGTAAGTGCACGGGATTATACTGAAGAATGCATCTGATTTGTACTTTTCAGTTCTCCTTTGAATAGAAATGATCCATTAATCGGTTACATTTTATTGGTTAAAAGGGTGCTTTCTGCATGGATGAGTTTTCATCAGTCTTAAGGCAAGTGTATTATTATACTGAACACCGTGATGGACATCCAGGCTGCTCTCCAGTGAGGAAGAGAGCTGAAGCTTTGAAAAGGGCTACAGGAGAGATGCCCTCTGTGAAGTCCACGTGCTGAATGGGCCTGACAGCGTAACCGTGAGCATTGTTTTCCTAAGAAAGGGCACAGCAAAGCGTAAAGCACCAAGTGAAGCTCAGTTCTGGCAGGCTGTGTTTCTCCAGGAGTCCTCTTCTGTGATGCAAAGTTAGAAGATGCATCTGCCCACGGAGAGTAGGCTGCTGTGAGTAACCATGTGTTCCATCATTTCTGTTTTCCTCTCTCTTGTCTGGAAACTATGATTACTGATTTTCCTGTACGAGAATCCCCATACCTTCCAAAACTTGAGCCACCAGTGCTAGGTGAAATGAAAAGGCTGATGTGGCTGAGAACAGAAAATTCTGTCAGAGCTACCTAAAGTGTCACATTTCAGTGTAATCTGCAGAAAAGACCATCAAGCCAGTATCTGCGTGCCACTTATTTTGGGGCAGAAATGCAGCCTATAACAGCAAGATTCCCCGGGACTGTGAGGTAGGGAAATTTTTCTTCGTTGACACATTGGAGCACATCGATGGGCACCCTGTGGAATCCACGCAGGCTCTCAAAGCAGTGAGGAAGAGACAAATGGTGCCGTAACTCCTTTCACTATTAATCCACAGTCCCAGTCTTCAGCCCCGAGAGCAGCCCTGCTCTGGGAGGTTTGGCACCTGGGGCTCAGGGACACTGTAGAGTCAGTGAGGCCCCAGAAGAAGATACACAATATGGATTGGTGGGTCCTCTACTGCTGCAAATACAAGGTCGTGGCTTTGTGGAGCATTTGTCCGCATTCCAGCAGGTAATGTGAAGGTTTGATTTATGAGGATTAGTCCTCCTGGTTGGCAACCAAGGTGACATCAGCAGAGGCTACTGAGAGACTAAATACATTACAAAGGCATCTGTATTGTTTTGTACTTATATTAACAGCAAGAAATCAGCAACAGGGATTTAAAAAAGTACTAATTGAGAAGAAATGTGCTATGAATAGCATCTCTGACGCTTGCATGGACAGCAATTTGAACAGCTGGAATATCAAAATAATATAATTTATTATTTAACAAGCATACAGGTAGTGCAACAGATGGGATCCTATAGCTTGTTTTGAAGACACTGTAACTTGTGTCAGCATTATTACCAATTCAGACACAGAGAACCTTGAATGCACCATTTTTACTTGCAAAACCTGAAAAAGGGACATTGCTCAGGGTCAATAAAAGACCAACACTCAAACTGGAAAATGAGCTTGAATTTCTTCATAGAAACTTGTCTGTGTTCGGTTGAGGAGAAGGAGAGGAAATGGTGTGACAGTCATCTACTTAGAAAGTCCTCTGTATTGGAGGACCTGGAGACCAGATACGAACTATCAGCTGAATTTCAGGAGTGCCTCATCTTTCATTTCTTAGAACAAACAGTAGAGCACACAGCATGAGGCAATCCTGCTTTGGACTTCATGCTTAAAATAATCATGGCATTGGGGATGGTTTCCTAGGCATCAGGGACATCAATATGGGCAGAAAAGAACACTACCAGTTAGTACTAGCTAATGAGCTGATTCCACAAAGGAAGAAAACTTTTTGCTTACAAAGAAAAGTGGAAATCATAATTGGGACTCCTCTAAGAAGGGCCTGTAAAGTTAGAAAAATTACAAATGCACAATTTAAAAAAGAAAGATAAAGAGATTACTTTTGTTAAATGCCCTGCCTGGATGAGCAGGAGCAGAAATTAAATTAAACAAAAAAAAAAAAGAGAGGGAAAAGAGGGGAGGTAGAAAGCAATTAGTAGTCATTTAGGATACTGACAGGCAGAATATGAGCAGGGCAGACAAACATTAGCAGGTAAAGCCACTGCTTATAAAGTTGATAGGTATTAAAATGCCATAGTTAAAAAGCCAACACCTCCCTCCCCCCAAAGTCTGTTTACTACATGTATGCTATGACAGTGTTAACAATGAAAAAAGTAAATTTAAAAAAAAAAAAAAAAGCAGAAGTGTGCATTTTAAACACATGCTGTCAGACCAGGGAAATTCCAGAGGAAGGCAGAACTGGTAAGATCATGTTCAAATTTAAAAAGTGAAAACGGGACCCATGCAATCATGAACTACCTAGACCGGTGTCAGTCGCTGGCAAGCCTTGTTTAGACAATCCTGCCAATGTCTGCAAATGGAAAAGGCCAGCGCAGCTCCTGGCAGGTCTGTATTTCCTTCATGGGATGTGTAAAGGATGAGACTTTCCACCAGACTCTGGTGCAGGCGAAGATGGGGAAGTCCGTGGGTTCCCTCAGAGCCTGCTCTGGGTGAGAGCGAAGCACAAGCTGATCCCTGGTGAGATCTCGCAGCGCTCTGACCACGGCTCGGTCGCTGCAGTCATAATGAAAGAAAGGGCTTGTATTTCCTGGCTGATCAGCTGGTAAATTATCAGAGAAGTCCTGTAGTGGGAACGGGAACATGGAGAGGAAGCGAGGGTGCTAAGGATGTTCCTCAGGGCCGTCCTGAAGCCCGCTTGTTTCAGTGCTGCAGTTAAGCAATCCTAATTGCATGGGTGAGAGAAGAAATGAGCTTCTCTGACTAACCCCACTCTGCTTTGGATCACAGAAAGCTTACTTCATCAACTATGTATCTTCATCCAAATCATAATCCATTATAACAGCAACCAGGCAGTTCACAGACCGACTCTTTGTTAATGATAATTGCCTGTTGCGCTTCGGCTTGTACAGCCTTCTGTGCACGCACGGACCTCGACTCACCCTCACACTCATACCTTCAGCTGTGGGGAGGAGCAGAGGATGATAAGAAGAAAAGTAATGACGCAAAAGAACGACTAGCAATTAAATGAAGCATGTGAATATTATGTGTGCCAATCAGCAAAGTCAAATGGAAAACAGGTCTCATCAGAGAAACCTGGGATGAGATTACAGGCTTGGCTGTTAGAAGATAACGTCATAGCTGTACTAATTTTTTAAGGTGCTTGACTTAGCACTGCAAGTTAATGATCAGAAAAAAATTATATTCTAATGCAATAAAACACAGAATGAAGAACTGGAGAAATAGTTCAAAGTAGCTGTCAGT